CACCACACCACACAACATGCATACAACACACAACACACACACACACCACACATACAACACACATACACACAACACACATGCAACACAACACGCATACAACACACACACACAACACACATGCAACACACACAACACACACACAACACGCATACAACACACAACACACATGCAACACACAACAGAACACACACAACACACACACACAAAACACATGCAACACAATACACAACATTCACACACAACATACTAACATACATGCAACACCACACAACACACATAACATACATATATAGCACACATGCAACACATCTACACACGTTCACACATAGCACACACAGTGACACACACAGTGACATCACACACACAGTGACATCACACACAGTGACATCACACAGTGACATCACACACAGTGACACACACAGTGACATCACACACAGTGACATCACACAGTGACATCACATGCACAGGGACATCACACAGTGACATCACACAGTGACATCACAGGCACAGTGACACACACACTCTCCCTCCTTCCGCCCATCTCCAGAACAGCCTCCCGGACGTCCCAGACCACCTGCTCTCTGGCTCCCCTGGGTGGTGTCCCTCCCCCGCTACCTGGTTAATGTGGGAGGGGGCGCTGTAGGTTCCATGAGGGAAAGGACAGGGCTTGTCCCGCGCACGCCGCCCAGCACCCCAGGAAATAACGTCTGTGAACGGGCGGGCTGCTCCCCTGACGAGCCGTCTCAGTCACCCCCACATGCATAGTGCCCTCTGGTCTGCTGTCCTGCAGCTCCACCCTGCCCAGGGCTGGGAGTGCCACTGGGGAGGGAGGGGCGGCTCCGCCCACTGTGCCCCCTGGAGGCTTTGGGCTCTGCAGGGGGAGGCCTGCAGATGGCGTCATGATCTCTTAGAGCACCCATCAGCACCCTTTGCAGCGAGGCCGGAGCCCACCTTCCCCAGGGCCATCACTGGGAGACACGGTCAGGCTGCAGACAGGTGGCGGCAGCGAGCCCCTGTCCCCGCCCCTCGGGGGCCTCTGTGCCCTGCTGGCCCCTCGACTGCCCCAGTGGGGCCAAGGCCCACCGCCCCCGTGCCCTGCTCTGTGAGGCCATCGAGCGGGGCAGGGCTGCGGGAGAAGCCAAGCAACCCCTGGGGGACTCAGAGACGAGGGTCAGGGGAGAGTAGGTGTCCCCAAGCTGGGGCTGGGCCAGCGTCAGCCCATCAGGCCTTCCCAAGCCCCAGTGTTGGTTCAGGGAGGGACCCAATGCCCCCCAGCCACAGAACAGCAGGACCAAGAGACCCTTGGGGCCAGCATGCATGGCACCGGGGCTGTGCAAGCTGCCCCACAAGGCGGGCGCCCTTGCGTACCCACCCAGGGCCCCAGGGGCATGGACAGCCGCTACCCCGGGGACCCCCTGGGCTCTGGGCCAGGCCTGGGCCCCTCAGTCTGACCTGAAGACGTCATTCCAAACACAGATCTTTGTGCCCAGGACCCAGCAGAAGATCCCAGAGATGAGGCAAGCACCCCTCTGGGGGACGGAGGTGACCCCGAAAACAAGCTGCAGGGCAGGGGGTAGACAGCCGGGCCCCTGTCAGCCAGCGGAGCCTCGGGCTGAAGGCCCTGCCCTGGGGTGTCCCTGAGTCCCCTGAGCCCAACTCTACTGCCCTCGCCCTCAAGTCCGGGGACTTCTGAGGCTCCTGCCCACGTCACTGGGGACGAGGGTAGGTCTGGCCAGCCCCGACGGGTCTTCTGCTCCGTGTTCAGGCTGCCCACCCTGGGAGGCCCCTGCCAAGCGCCCTCAGACCCTGGCAGGCGGGACGGCCTGCAGACCCTGTACAGCAAGCTACCCGCGGGGTGGGCCCGGGGGAGGGCGCGGGTCCTGCGCTTGGAGCAGCTGGCACCCGCTGCCCTGGAACTCAGTGTCCTGTCCAACCTGCACTTCTGTCGGATCCCTGCCCAGGCCTTGGGCAGCCTCTTCTCCCAGGACGCTGCCCTGAAGGCCACCCCTCCGGCCTCGGCCCTGCCTGGCCCCAGGGGACAAAGAAGCACACCAGTTTTAAAGGAAGAGGCTAGAATTGCTTTTCAGACATAACCACCAATTGCAGCTTCTGAGAATCCTGACTGGAATGCACCCCAGGAAAAAGCACCTTTGAGACCGTGGGGACCGTGACCAGGACCGGGGTCCATATGAGGGCTTTGGGCCCCAGTGGCTGTGCTGGAGAGGTTGAGTGAAGGACTTGCTATAAAATCACACCACGCCAGGGGTTTGACTCACAATTTTCCCGCCAAAACAGTGAAAGAGGTGGGAGGGGAGGGGAGGCGCGGCCGAGAGGGTGAGGCTCCCCCATCTCCTCGCTCATTTGGCTTGTGTTTCTGCCGCTCTGCCCGGCTGTGCCGTTGGACACGTGCGTTCAGACGACCCACATCCAAAGTGACCACGGATCCAGCTGGCCAATGCCCCCGCGTTTGTAAGTGTGCTCTCTCCCCCTCTCTGTCCGCCTTCTCTGGTTTTAAGTGAGCGCATTGTGTGATTTCATGTTCTCTCCTCCCTTTGTACATCAGTCACACTTTTTAAAATTTTTAGGGGTTGCCCTAGAGTTTACGATGCATCTACGCCCCTTCCAAGCAGCATCGCTGCCCGGCCGTGCAGGTGCCTCCCGTTAGCGTGTTTCCGGTCCCCACCCGCCCTGAACCTGTGCTCTGTCCTTCCACTCGTCCATGAACTGCCCTCACCCCACAGTGTCGCCGTCATGATTCCCACTGACAGTTACCTATCAGACCAATTCTGAATAAGGAGAACAGCCCCAGTCACTCCCGAGGTTCACCCTTCAGCCACAGATTAGACAGCCCCATAAAACAAAACGAGACTAAAGGGGCAAGGACGAGAAGGCAGGAGGGGATGGGAAAGCTGGTAATGGGGAACCCAAGGTTGAGAAGGGAGACTGTTGACATGTCATGGGGTTGGCAACCAATGTCACAAAACAATATGTGTATTAATTACTTAATGGGAAACTAACCTGCTCTGTAAACCTTCATCTAAAGCACAATGAGAAAATAAATTTAAAAAAAATCAATTATTGTACCAGCTTAACAGAATAAAGAAGCAAAAAAAAAAAAAAAAAAGAGAATTCAGAAAATAAAAGGCTTCTCACCAATTTTGTTCGCTTGAAAAATCCCACCATAAAATTTTAAAAATTAAAACAAAACAATTCTTCTGTAGCCTCTTGGAAGTAGCGGTAACTCCGGACCCCGGGGTTCGAAGCCTCCGTCGAGTTCCTTCTTGTCACTCTCAGCCCTTCCCTCCCAGGGCTGCTGGCTGCCCCTGAGTGAGCCCATCCACGAGGGGCTGGGCTGGGAGGGCTCTTGGCTCTCAAGGAAGGCCGGGGGCCTCTGTGGCCCTGCCATCTTGCAGGCCAGGGGGGGACTGACGAACCCAGGACAACCTGAGAGGTGCTCCCCTGCCGGGAGGCGACAGAAACAAGGCCCAGGCCAGCTTGAGCTGGGGCCACGTGCAGCATACCAGGTTGATGACTGACCTCTCCCCCCCATTACACACACCTGCCGGGTTTCCAGCCCCTGCCCCCAGGCTTGAGGCTTGCCCCCTAGCCGGGTGCTGGTGAGGCAGCAGGGAGGGCAGGATGGGGGGCAGGGGGAGGGGGAGCTGGGGGGTGTTGAGGGGCAGGAGGAGCTGGGGGGTGCTGGGTGGCAAGGGGAGGGGGAGTTGGGGGATGGGGATGGGGAGCTTGGGGGTGCTGGGGGAGGGGTAAGGGTGGGGAGAGCACGGCATGGGGCTCAAGCTGGGGTACAAGGGGAGCAGGAGCTTGCTCCTCCACCTGGGCCTGAATGGACTGCACTGTCTTCTGGCAGGGCAGGGAGCCCCCAGCGGAACCTCCCTCCCTGCAACCCAGTATCCCCAGCAGGAACTGAAGGTCTGTGACCACACCCACCTCCTCCTTGGATGTCCCCTGCCCACCCCCCTCACCCTCAGGGTAGCCTCCTTCTGACCCTTTAAAACTGAGCGTCTGGGAGGGACAAGCCAGGGTGTTCCAAGGGCGGGAGGCCTGAGCGCCAAGCAGGGATGTCTGCGCCTTCTGGTGTCTACAGAGTGCATCCATTTAATAAAAGGTTCCAGCACTGAGGGTATAAAACCAGTAACAAACCAGTAACAAACAGGCCGCCCGAAGTTCTGATCGCCACCGGGGTCCCAGAATCGAGGCCCCCTCTGGAGAGAGGACGCCCCGGTGGCAGACGCCCGCAGGCGTGTGGGATTGTGCTTTGAGGGGGCGTCCAGACGACGCGGCTTTGCACCCTCCGCCTGCCAACGCCCCGCGGAACGCCGCAGCCAGAAAAGTTCCGCGTAGAGATGAAGGGGAACAAGGTCTCGGGCCTCCTCTGGGGAGTCAGGGCTGTTAGTCCGCATGCAGGCGGCTCCCCCGCAGCCCACAGCTGGCCCCGGGGAGGAAGCGTGGGTGCAGGCCCCACATGGTGTGCTGGCCCCGCTGTGCACACAGGCTACGTGGCCTCGGGGCAGGGTGGGTGCTCTGGGCATGCGTGGGGGCCCTGGTCTCCGACCTCCTCTGAGCCAGGCCTTGTCCCCTCCCGGTGCACCCACAACCCGGGGCTGGGCTGGGGAGGCCGAGCGGATGGGGCGGCGTTCAGGGCCTGGTGCTCCTCCCGGCTTCGTCCAGGGCCCTTCTGATCAGCCAGGAGTGGTCACGAGTTGCGGTACATGTGTGCAAAGATACGTAGGTTGTACGGATTTGTAAAAACAGGTTTAAAAATGCTTCTGGCAGCTTGCAGTGGTGCCCCGGGCACTCAGCCCCCCACCCTGGGGCCCTCCTCTCTGGTCAGGTCCTGGAGCAGCTGCAGGCGGGCGCGTGGTTGCTCTGGGTTAGGCCGGCGCCGAGTGTCTGTGCACGATCCCTCCACCCTCTGGACCTGGGCAGGGCACAGCGTCTGGTCCCCCACGCAGTGACAGGTCTCTGTGCAGGCTGGCCGCTCAGAGCTGCGTCTCGTCGCGTGTCTTGGGGTTGCAAGACGCCAGCTTGTGGCTGCAGCTGTCTTTCTGAGCCTGCGAGCTGCTGGCCACGTGGGCCAGGGGGTCACAGCGGATGAGATACCTACAGGAGGAGGAGAAGACCTGCAGGCTGGCACCTAGCCACCCCTCCCCGGCAGGCAGCGGGCGCTCGGCAGGTCTGCTGGGCTCCCGCCACCGCCGCGCTGCAGGAGCTTACACAATGTCGTTGGGCTCCAGCCTTGTGTCAGGCGGCGGGTTGATGAGGACGTACGACAGGGTGTTCTGCTGGTCGTTCATCTCGTCTGCAAAGAGACAGGCCCAGCGGGCGGTCACACTCAGCCCGCCCCAGCTCTGCAGATGTGGGGACCCGGGGCTTGGGGCTGCGCCACCAGCTGCGAACCTCTGAGCCTTTGCTGGCCGTTCTGCTGGCTCCCCTCACACCAGCACACCCAGCCAGGGCCTCATCTCCCTGGCAGATACCTGTCCCAGCTCCTGCCCTGCACGGACAGGCATCAGTCACGAGGGGCAGCGAGTGTTTGTGCTGACCCTCAGCCGGAGCAGCCAGGATCAGAGGGCATCTCACGGACACAGCGGCCCCGGCAGAGGCACCGAGCACACCTGTGCACACTTGAACAGGCCTGCACACGTCCTGGCAGGCACACCTGCCCCTGGCCCTGCCACCATCCTCTTGGTGCCCCTCTAGGGCTGAACCATCCCTGGGGGTGGAGGGGCACGGCCACCCCGCTCGCTTGCTTAACCCACTGACCCCCCTGGCTTTGGATTCACTTCCCACTTCTAAAACCTGCTCCCCACAACCATCAGCCCAGGGCACCCACTGGCCTCATTCCCACCAGGAGTGGAGAGCCTGCCCGAGGGTGTGTGACAGCTCATGGGTGGCTGCAAGGGTGCCACCGCCAGGTGAGAATGGGATCGGAAGCCTCTGAATACCACGGGACCACCTAAGCGCCTCCCAGGCAGCCCAGCGGCCAGCAGGGACCCCGCCACATGCAGGCATGACTGGAATGTGTGTTCCAGGACTCCGGTGACCCTGCCCAGTTCCCCTTCTCTGTAGGGTCCTCTCCTCTAGGGAGTGGACCAGCTGCGGCTGCTGAGAAGGGAAACAAATTCTTGGCAATGCTGGGGGAACAGCTGGCTGGCCGGGCCTGGCGCTTCGGCCTGTTTCTCTGACTCGAAGGTTCAGAGGCTGAACCTGACACCGGATTCAGGATCCGCACCACGCAGGGGCGCCACCACGTGCACACGGCATGCTTTCAGAGAGGTGGAGGCAAGGCTGGGGGTGGCGGTGGGAGGCGACGTGGGCAGGGGCAGCTCCAGCTTGGGGACCTGCTGTTGCATGCCCTTGATGGGTCACCTCTTGTCATGGGATGGGGACAGCCACCCCCTGCTCCTCTGCCCGCCCGAGCCCGAGTGCCAGCCCTTCCACCCAGTGTCATCTTTGCTCTTTTCCCAAACCCAAGGCCGGGTGCCCCGTCCCATCCTTGGAAGCTGCAGCTACCAGCCCAGGGCTGCTCATGCTGCTAGCTGTGCGTGGGGCTGTGCAGGGCACCCCACCCATCCCGAGGCCAGCGCGTATCTCTGGGTGGAGCAGACGGAGGACGGGAGATCGCACAGCAGTCACGAGGCTGCTGCCACGCCATCAGGCCGGGTGGAGAGAGGAGGGCTGCTCTCGGGGACTCCGGGCCTGGAACGGCAGGCGGGCGGGGCAGCCCCTGTGTGCCCTGTGGCCCTGGCTCACTCTGCCCGTTCCTTCTCTGAAGGCCCCCACCCTACCGGCCTAGTCCCCAGGGGCCTCCGCTTCTCCTTCCAGACGACCAGGGCATTTTCTGAGACTGGGTGAGCTCATGCTGGACAGACCAGGCCTGGACTGCCTGCAGTCCCACAGGCCCGAGAGGTGGGGGCATCAGGCACTTGTGAGGGGGTGGGGTTGTGGTGCAGGCGCCGCCCTGATGTGGTGGGCACAGAGGTGGCACTGGCCTGGGTCAGCGTCATCAGGGGCACCCATAGACCTGGGAGATGGTCCTCAGCTCTTCTGCTAAGTCCTCCAGAGCGTGGTCACCTCACCCTGGGCCCTTGGGGACTGTCCCAATTCCTCCACCTCGACCCTCCGCCCATACCAGGGGCCTCCCCACCCCCTTTCTCATCCTGCAAACCGGGCACCATGGCCCCCAGCCCTCCACAGCCCCCGGGGTGGAACGCTGAGCGCAGAGGGCTCCGGGCACTTGTGCGCCTACACCAGTCCCCACGCCTCCTCCAGAACTGGGGCGACACAGGCCCTAGCCGCGTGGGCCGCACTCTAAGGCCGGGCCCTAGCTGTACGCGCGCAGGGGCTGCGGCCCAACCAGACTGGCTCCCGGCTCCTCTGCACCCAATGGGGCCAGCACACCATGTGGGGCCTGCAGCCCAGCTGAGGGGTCACCCCGAGGGTCTGCGGGGTGGCGGTGGCTCTCGTTTTAGGTCGTGGTCCTGGCACCTCTCACAATGGCAGATGCACAGGTGTGTGTGGGGAGTGCCTGCCCCGCCCTGGGCACGGAGCAGGCACAGGGGGCACTCAGCACGTGCCCGAGAGTGAGCGTGGTGGCCGAGGGTGCCGGCCTCTCCCTGCCCACAAGCCTGAGCCTGGGGTGCAGCGGGGCACCGCAGGGTGGGTGCAGCGGGGGAGGAGCAAGGAGATGCAGGCGCTAGCCCGCAGAAGCTGTGGCCTGCAGCAGCGCTGAGTGCAGGCCCTGCAGGTTTGCGTCCCAGTCTGGCAGCGCAGGAGGGGGGCGTGCGGCCCCAAGGGCCCCCGAGCGGACGCAGAACAGAGAAGAGAACAGATGGTGGGGCTGCGGACACTGTCTCCCGAACCCACCAGGCTCCGACCCCCAGAACCGCCATCCATGGGGCCTCTGTCGGGGCTGCGGACCACAGCTTCCCTTCCAGACCTGGGTCTGCCCCCACTAAGGCTCCGCCCTTGCTAATGCCTCCCTGGAGCCCAGAAGGCCTCCCCAGCCCCTGGGTCGCGCCTGCATGGAGGCGCTGCACCTGGGGGGCTGCGCCCAGGGTCGGCCTAGGGGTTCAGGCTCTGAGCTCCCCCTGAGCCCTCATGAAAGGGAAGGGTCCTGGCCGGTGGGGGCCGTAGCCCAGTGCCTGGATCTCCAGGAGCCTCGGCCGGGGCTGAGGCTGGGGCATCTCCTTAGAAGAAAGGGGGTGCCGGCCAGCCCTGAGCACCCAGATGAGCTCTGGGGTGTGTCAGGAGGGAGAACCCCCTGGAGCCACAGCTGGTGTGGCTCCCCAAGCTCTGCCTACCAGGGCGCCCCCCGAGGGCTGTGCACCCTGATGCTCAGAGCCACGCAGAACGCAAGTCGCTATACCCCGCCTTTTCTCCCAGCTGCACGGTGAGACCCCCAGCTTGGGACCGTCTGTCTAGGACTGTCCAAGCCCTTGGTGGCTCAGGGACCTTGGAGCTCTCAGGGCTGGCTCCGGGCGTGGGTGACTGGCTGCCCATCAGGGCCGCCCTCGGACAGCGGCCTTTGCTTCTTAAACAACGAAATCAGCACGAAGCGTCCTCGGGTGGCCAGACCTCAGGCCTGGAAGCCAGCAACCACGGCATCCTGGGGCCAGGCTGGCGTCCGGCGGCTGAGGGGGAGGAGGGCGCAGGGTCCCTGCAGTGGCGCCGTCTGGGCGCATATGCTCCCGCTGAGCTCCGCCCTGCCTGACCAGAGCAGGCCTGGCTGGAACCCGGGCCCTGGCCTCGGCTCCTGTCAGCCTGCCTGGTGGCCGGGCACTGGGGCCCGTGGCAAATGGTCGGTCTGCCCTCATGTGGTCCGGAGTCAGCCTCGACTCCCAGAGCGAGAATTACCTTGGAGGTATCCCAGGTTTACCCGATTCATGACATCGCTGGCTGTTAAATTTGCTACGTCCTCTACAGAACACGAGAGCACAGACAAGGACAGAGAGAGAGAGACAGGTCAGCAAGCGGCCGTGAGGCGGTGGTGGCCTGCGGCATGGGGGCGTCTAGCCATGGGTGGGCGGCCCGGGAAAAGCGGCTGTTACGGAAGCAGCAGCTCCTTCTCTGTAAGCTGGGTGGCAGGGGCTGCGGCCGAGGAAGGCCGTGCAGAGCCCAGCTCCAGGGCAGCAGGCGGCCACCTCGGTTTGCGACGCTTGCCGTGGATGGCGAGCAGGCGGTGCCCCATCTTGGGCCTTCGGCAGTCAACCCCCCAAAAAGGCTGGGGCGTTAGGGGACGCCCGCCACAAATGTCCACACCCTGGAGGCTGGGAAGCAGGCTGGGGACGGCACCCATGGGTCACCCTGTCCCCCCAAACCCTAGCCTCTGAGTCTCCTTCATGCCACTCCTGCCTGGCCCCCCAAGGAGCACCCTGGGGGCCCCCCCCAGCCAAGTCGCTCCCCCTGTGGGACAGCAACAGCACAGCATGGCACAGCACCCCATGCCCCGAGGCAGCTAGCTCCCTGGGAACCCTGAGCTGCCTGACCCCACTTGGAGGGGCTGGAAGCCGCTGACCAAGGGGACAGAGAGTGGGAGGCAGGCAGGGGGCTGCTGCAGGGCCGAGCAGGAGCCCTGAGCGGGGTGTGGGGGGGAGCGGCGGTGGGGGGGGAGGGGAGCCGTGTCCCCCAGGCTGCATAAGCATAGGCAGCGTCTCCAGAGATGGACGGGTGGAGGGAGGAAGGCTTCTCCCCAAGAGGCGCCCAGGCCTGCTCTGGGTCAAGGTCAGCTACAGAGAGAGCTAGCTACAGAGGATGACTCTGGCAGTGGGGGGTGGGGGTGGTCCTGGAGCCTCAGGCGCCGTGGAATGACAGGTGGGGCCCCACAGGGCAGACAGACGGACGGACAGAGAAGTGCCCCCTAATGGGGATCACCACGTTCCCCTGTGCTCTCGGCTGCTGGGAGGACCTGCGGTGGGGGGGCATCTGTCCCCAGACAAGACTATGTCTTTTGTCTTCCTGGAAGCCCAGACCCCACCCCACAGCCATTCCTCCAGAAATGGCTCCTCGGCCAGCTAGCTGCACCACGTTTTACAGGTGGGGAAACTGAGGCCCAGAGCCGTGGGTGAGCTTCCCTCTGGGCTCGGCACTGGTTCTCAGGGGAATCCTGTGCCCTCCCCACCGGGAGTGCAGAGGGAGCTGGCCCTGAGCACGGGTAGACAGACAAACGGACAGACACACAAGGAGGGCGGCGAGAGGCCGGGGAAGCCTGGGCCGGGCCAGGTGGATCCTGGCGCCCATCCTGTGGGCCCGAGGGCACCGCTGCCGACGGCTGGCTTCCGGCCTGGCCTGCCCTGCCCGGCTGTGTCCGGCAGCTGCCCCTTACCGTAGCCCGTGGTGGGCAGCCCCAGGTGCTTCATGCGGTTCTTGACCAGCTCGGAGAGCTCCTGCCGCTCGGAGCGCTGGTACAGGCTGAGCCGCTGCTGGCCCATCCACTCGGCCGCCGCCGTGGCCTTGCCCGCCTGCTTGGGGCCCCTGCGGCTCAGCCTCCTCGCCCACTGTAGGCTCTTGCGCCGCAGCAGCGGGGGGTCCGCCGGGTCGCCGCCGCCTGAGTGGCGGCCGTGGGCACTGCCACCGCCGCCGCCTGCCCGCACGGCCCGGGGCCCCTTCACTTCCCGGGTGTCCTCACAGTCCTCCATGTTCACGGAGATCTGGGACTGGCCGAGGCGGGCAGGTGAGGGCCCAGGGGAGACCCCGCCCCCGGGCGCACGCGCTTCCTTCTCCAGCTGGGGTGGGGGGCGCCTGGCTTCCTCCCGACCCACACCGCCTGGCCCTGGGGGTCTACCCTGTCCTGCAGACGCGCCAGGGTGCCGGGGGCCCTCAGCCTCTCTGGGCCTGTGTTTCTGCAGGTCGGCTGGGTCTGGGCCCTGGCACGTCCTGGCTTTGCCGCCCCCTCTGTGCCTCAGTTTCCTCCTCTGCAGCATGGGGGTGATAGGGGGGACCGCCTCCTCCCACATGCTTCCCTGGGGCCTGGAGGGCCAGGAGAGAGTGCAGGGGAGGGGGGTGTGTGCACTGGGGGACTCGGGGACCCCCCTCCCTCACTCCTCCTGAGAGCAGAGGGCCCGGCTGGAGGCCTGGGGCTGGGTGTGGCACTCCCACCAGACTAGGAACGGGGTGCACCTGGCACTTCCCGGGGGCTCCGAGCCTCAGTTTCCCGCTGCACAGGAGCGCTGACTGTCACGAGCCCGTCATGTTTCCCGGAGCACAGCCCCGCCCCCCTCCCTGTGAGCGCAGGCCCGGGTGTGGGTGTGGGGACGGGGGTGGGCTCTGGGTGGAGTTTCTATTCTGAGGTTAAGACGCTTTGTGTTGGACAGGAAGCTGGTCTGGGCATGAAGCGGTCACTCACCTGGACCCTGATGTCGTGGGGCTGTAAGGAGATGAAGATGTCTGGGTGCCTGGGGTGCGCGTCTGCCCCCGCCCCCAGCACAGAGCGTCCTGAGCGGCTCCCGCTGGCTACCCAAACCCCGCCCCCTATGCAGGGCAGCGGCTCCTTCGTGCTCGAGGACGTGGGTGCCTGGATCTAACCCAGTCCCCGAGCCCATGGAAAGGCAGAAGGCAGGTGAACCCCCAAACCACAGGTGGGGCCGGAGCGAAGGACGCTGCGGGGGGAGGTGCCGTCTGAGCGCCGTGTACCTCCGAGGTGGCGAAGACGTGGCACTCGGTCCTGTAGATCCCGATGGGGACCTCGGCACTGGAGGAGCACAGCTTCTGGAAGAGGCGGCCGTAGGTGCGGATCCAGAGGTCGTCCTCGGAGATCTTCATCTGGGGGCGCGGGCTCCCTGAGCTGGGCCCACAGAGCCTCGGCTGTGCCCACCCACCCACCTGCCCACCTGCCTGCAGAGCCTTGGCTGCTGCCCGCCTGCCTGCCCGCCTGCCCGCCAGCCCCGCTGGGCACTTACGGCACAGAGGTAACCAGAGCCGGGCGTGGTGTCCAGGCCCAGCAGCAGCCTGGTGATGGTGATCATGTAGTCCTTCACGAAGGACTGGGGGAGAGGGGGCACAGCTGAGGCAGGGTGCGCCCGGCTCCTTCCCACAGACAAGCCTACCAGGCGCCCACAGCCTTCAGCATGCACGCAGGCCCTGCTCGCTTGGTCCAGGTCTGCGCCCAGCAAGGCTGAGAACAGCGCCAGGGAGGCCGTCTGGTTTGGGGAATGCACTTTGCCAAGCACCACTGGGTCACAAAGGGGACCAGAACCCCGAAGGCTGCTGAGAGCAGGGCCTAAGGCAACACCTTCTGGGGAAGAGGACCTGCTGCTCCGGGGCCACCCACTCTCGGCCCTGCTGCCAGGGACCCAGGGTCGCTCAGACTGGAGCGGCCGGTGGCCGGGGAGACAGGGAGAGTGGGGGCTCCGGGCAACACGGACCCCTCCGCTTGGCACCCGACTCACCTGGTAAAGTAGCGTGTCCAACATGCTGATGCTGAAGACGCGGCCTGCGGCGAAGGGCAGGCGGAACATGAAGGCCAGGTTGGAGCCGTTCTCACGCTCCCTCTGCGGAAGAGAGGCCCTCAGCAGCGCCGCGGCCCGGCGTGGGGTGGGCAGCACGGGGGCAGGGCGCGTGTGCACACGTGTGCAGTGTGTGCGTGGGCATGGGCAACTTGAACTCCCAGCCACTCCCCGAAGACACTCAGGCTGCAGCCCAGAGCAGCAAAGATCTGCAGCTGCCCAGGCCGCCTGTGCTCGGTAAATTCCTGCCGCGCTGTCCACAAACTCTCAGTAACCCTAACAATCTTATCCTTGGACTTGGGTTTTGCAAGTGAGGCCCTAGGGGACGATGGAGCGCAACGTGAGCAGAGGACACGCGTGTGATGTGCGTGTCTGTTGCATCCACATACGGTGTTCGTGATGCCCACAGGCACAGGATTCCCATGGGCCCACTGTATCGGCTTCCTGCGGCTACTGTGACAAATGACCACAAACTTAGTGCCTTGAAATAACCCAAATTTACTATCTTACAGTGCTGGTGGTCAGAAGTCTAGGCTGAAAGCAATGTTGGGCTCCCTCTGGAGGCTCCAGGGAAGAATCCGCTTCCTTACGTCGTCCAGCTTCTAGAGGCCGCCACCTGTACAATGGTGGTTCGGTGGTTGCATTCTCGCCTTCTACGTGGGACCTGGGTTTGAGTCCCAGGCAATGCACCTCACGGGCAGCCACCACCTGTCTGTCAGTGGAGGCTTACGTGTTGCCACGAGGCTAAACGGGTTTCTGAACGGGTTTTGGCTGAATTTCCAGACTAGGAAGAAAGGCCTGGCAATCTACTTCTGAAAATCAACCAGTGAAACCCTATGGATCACAGCGGTCCAAGTGTTCATGGGGGCGGCGCAGGACCAGACAGTGTTTCATTCCGTTGTGGATGGGGTGGTCATGAGTTGGGGGCCAACTCGGCAGCAGCTTACAAGAGGCTGCCTGTTTTCCTTGGCTCGTGGCCCCTTCCTCCATCTTCAAAGCCGGCAGCGTAGCATCTTCAAATCTCTCTCTGACCCTCCTGACTCCCTCTTCTAAGGGCCTGTGTGATGATACTGGGACTCCCAGATAATCCAGGACAATCTCTCTACCTCAAGACCCTTAACTGACCACATCTGCAATGTCCCTTTTGCCACTGTCTTAGTCATCTAGTGCTGCTGTAACAGAAATACCACAAGAGGGTGGCTTTAACAAACAGAAATTCATTCTCTCACAGTCTAGAAGGCTAGAAGCCCAAATTCAGGGTGCCATCTCCAGGGGAAGGCTTTCGTCTCTCTCTTGGCTCTGAGGGAAGGTCCTTGTCATCAATCTTCCCCTGGTCAAGGAGCTTCTCTGCGCTAGGACCCCGGATCCAAAGGACATGCTCCGCTCCTGGCTCCTCTTGCTTGGTGGTATGAGGTCCATCTCCTCTCTGCTCACTTCTCTCTTTTATATCTCAGAAAAGGCTGACTCAAGATACAACCTAATCCTGTAGATTGTGTCTTGCCTCATTAACATAACTGTTTCTAATCCTGCCTCATTAACACCATACCGAACCAAAACTAAACTCATTGTCATCAAGTCAGTTCTGACTAATAGCGACCCTATAGGACAGAGTAGGACTGTCCCATAGAGCTTCCAAGGAGCGCCTGGTGAATTTGAACTGCCGACCTTTTGGTTAGCAGCCATAGTGCTTAACCACTACGCCACCAGGGTTTCCATTAACATCATAGAGGTTAGTATTTACAACGTGTAAGATAATCACATCAGATCACAAATAGGATAGCAACCACTCAATACCAGGAATCATGACCTAGCCAGGATGATACACATTTTTAGGGGACACAATTCAATCTGTAACAGCCATGTAAGGTGACATAATCACAGGTTCTAGGGACTAGGGTGTGGACGTCTTTGAGGGCTACTGTTCTTCCTACCACAGCTACGTGGCAGTTCTGCAGGACTCAGAGCGAGTACAAGGTCAGCGTGGGGCCCGAGCTAAGCATGCAGGGTGCCAACCAGCCAAGCAGCCACGCTGGCCCCTGCAGCCAGAACGTGCTCCAAATGCAGAGAGAAGGCAAGAAGGTTCCAAGAAGCAGACAAGTGCAGAGCCCCACTGTGCCCTTTCTCACGTGGGGCCCTTCCCTGCAGCTACCAACCCCTCCTGGGAAGGGCAGCACAGAGGGAGAGGAAAGGAGGGGCCTGCAGGACAACCACTCCTCCTCCTTCCGACCTTCCTCACTCCTCGGGGAGCGGAGGGGAAGGCACATGTGGCCAAGCGTAATACCAGCAGCCGAGCTTGCTTTGTGCTCGGCTATTTCCTTGGTTCTGGCAAGAACAGAACACACAGGCTGTCCAAGCTGGGAAATACGAATCGTGAGATTTCAGCGCTTCCACACCGAGTTAAATGCCCATACATGGGCGCTGAAAACGGCATTGCGCGGAGGAAGATGAGGGGTAAAATCCACACTAACAATGAAAAATGTCAATCACCATTTACTGAGAAGGTCACTAAAAAGCAAATCAAATACCTGATGAGTCCTGAGAGAGAACCTGTGGAGGAAACGCTTTCGTCTCGGACCCGACGGCACGTCCCTGCCCTCTGAACCAGGGCCTGTCTTAGCGTCCTTGGTGAGCACACCAGGACACCGCATGTGGGTGGCTTTACGGACTGAAATTTACTGTCTCACAGCTGTGGAGCCTACAAGTCCAAATCGGGGTCTCGGCCGTGGCGGTTCCCTCTGTGGCCTCGCCTGCCTTCCGGTGTCTGTGGCAATCCTCGGTGTTCCTTGGCTCATGGACGCATCTCCACAAGGTGTCTGTCTTCCCCAGTGTGCGTCTGCGTCAGCTCTGCTCTTTTGTAAGACGCCACTTAGCAGTGATTAGGGTTAGGATCTACCCCGCTCTGGTAAGGTGTCCTGGGCTGGTGCAAATGGTGCACCTGCTCGGCTGCTAACCGAAAGGTTGGAGGTTTGAGTCCACCCAGAGGTGCCTCGGAAGAAAGGCCTGGCGATCTACGTCTGAAAAATCAGCCACTGAAAACTCTGTGGAGCACAGTTCTACTGTGACATGCGTGGGGTGCCGTGAGCTGGAGCTGACTCAACGGCAGCGTTTTCTACTCAGTACGAGGTCATTAACATAACAGAGAACCCGCTATTTCCAAACAGGGTTATATTTATAGGACCTCCATGCATATTCTGCGGGACACAGTTCCATCCGTGACAGCCCTGCACTCTTGCCTGGGGCCCCACGAATCACACAGCCAGCTCTGGTGGGAGCTGAGGGTTTTACCCTGAGCCCAGTGGGGCTTCAAGTTGAAAAGCACCAGAGGGAATTCGGGAATTTTATGGTGAGCGCTTGCTGAAGTTGACAGGGAGGAGATCCCACTCCACGAGGGCGGACGCAGGCATAGATCCGAGTGGAGGGGCCCGGGTGGGTGAGGCTGTCAGGATGAGGGTACGGCCGGAGGTCAATGTTACAATTACTGCAAATACGCATCGGAGCAGACAGCGGCAGACCCTGGGCCTGGGGACAAGCAGGACTGATGGGGCAGAATTGGGCACTCGGCCCTTCACACCAGGGGCTGCTGGGGGTCCTGGAGCAGACCACCTTGGGGGACACTGTAACAGCACATCTTTGTTGTTAGGGGCCATCGAGTCGGTTCCAACTCACAGTGACCCCACGTGCAACAGAACAAAACGTTGCCCGGTCCTGCGCCGGCCCCACAATTGTTGTTACGCTTGAGCCCACTGTTGCCTTAGTGCCCCCGCTTTACATTAACGCGTTTGTTTACAGGTTTCCGGGTGGTGCAAACAGTCTGCGCTTAACTACTAACCTAAGGTTGGTGTTTCGAACACAACCAGAGGCGTTGCAGAACAAACACCCGGTGATCCGCTTTCATAAGGATCACAGCCAAGAAAACCCTGCGGGGCAGTTCTACTCTGTAACACAGGTTGCCATGAGTCAGAACCAACTCCACAGCGACGGTTTGGGTTTTTCTGGGCTTGTGTTTGTACTTGTACTGGCCATTCTGAATTGGACACTCATATAGGGTACTATGCCAGGAATGACAAATTGAAGAGGAATGACATCACATTCATCGTCAGAAAGAACATGTCAAGATCTACCCTGAAGTACAGTGCTGTCAGTGACGACAGGGTAACATCCATACAGGAACGAGAAAGAGCAGACAGTATGACTATTATGCAATTTACGCCCCAACTGCTAAGGCCAAAGATGAAGAAATCGAAGACTTTTGCCAACATTTTGCCAACTGAAATCGATCCAACATGCAATCAAGATGCCGTGATAATTACTGGCAACTGGAATGAGAAAGTTGGAAACAAAGAAGGATCAGCAGTTGGAAAATATGGCCTTGGTGACAAAAATGACGCTGGAGATCGCAGGATAGAATTTTCCAAGACCCAACAACTTCTTCACTGCAAATATCTTTCTTCAACAACATAAACGGTGACTATACACGTGGGCCTCACCAGATGGAAGACACAGGAATCAAATCGACCACATCTGTGGAAAGAGATGATGGGAAAGCTCAACATCATCAGTCAGAAGAAGGCCAGGGGCCGACTGCAGAACAGACCATCCATTGCTCATATGCAAGTTCAAGTTGAAACTGAAAAAAAATAGAGCAAGTCCACGAGAGCCAAAGTACAACCTTGAGTATATCCCACCTGAATTTAGAGACCATCTCAAGAATAGCTTTGACGCGTTGAACACTAACGACCAAAGACCAGACAAGTTATGGGAAGACATCAAAGACATCATCCACTAAGAAAGCAAAAGGTCATTAAAAAGACAGGGAGAAAGAAAAAACCAAAATGGATGTCAGAAGAGACTCTGCAACTTGCTCTTGAACACAGAGCAGCTAAAGAGAACAGAAGAAATGATGAAGTAAAAGAGCTGAACAGAAGATTTCAAAGGGCAGCTCAAGAAGACGGTGAAGTATTATGATGACATGTGCAAAGAGCTGGAGATAGAAAACCAAAGGGAAGAACATGCTTGACATTTCTCAAGCTGAAAGAACTGAAGAAAAAATTCAAGCCTCAGGATGAAACACTGAAGGATTCTGGTGATGCAGCGGTTAAGCGTTCGGCTGCTAGCCCAAAGGTCGGCAGTTTGAATCTACCAGGCATTCCTTGGAAACCCTACGTACGGGACAGTTCTACTCTCTCTTATAGGGTTGCTGTGAGTTAAAATCAACTCATCGGCAACATTTTTCTTTTTAATGGGCAAAATATTGAACAACACAGGGAACATTAAAAGAAGGTGAGAGGAATACACACAGTCACTGTACCAAAAAGAATTGGTCGATGTTCAACCATTTCGGGAGGCAGCATATGATCAAGAACTGATGGTAATGAAGGAAGAGGTCCAAGCCGCACTGAAGGCATTGGTGAAAAACAAGGCTCCGGGAATTCATGGAATATCAACTGAGATGTTTCAACAAATGGATGCAATGCTAGAAGTGCTTACTCATCTATTCCAAGAATCCTGGAAGACAGCTACACGGCCACCAAGTAGCAGGAGTGCGCTTGCTGCGTGTTTCCTGCGGATTTTGCTGACCTGAGCCCCTTCAGACCTGCCTTATGGAGCAGGGGGGACACGAGGTTGCCAGGAGCAGAGCAGGGGCTTATCCAAGCAAGGCCCACTGCCGGGACCACAGCCTCACCCCGACCCCATGGCTGGCTTTCTGTCCACCCTTGGGTCAGAGTCTGTCTTCCAGGTCCCAAGAATCCTTCTCAGACCTGGCCCAAGCCCTGTCATGTAGAATCCTGGCCCAGGGGCTGCTGGGCAAGTGTTTACTCTCCTTTCCTGGGTCGGAGGGAGGCTGAGCACTCTGCTGCTGGGCAGGCAGGCTCTTGGGCATCAGGGGCTGCCCTGTGGATGAAGGCAGGGCAGACTCCAGGCTGGGCAGGAGGTGGTGGGGGCAGGACGGGCCCTGAGCCAAAGATTCCAGGCTGCTGGTCCAAAGCAGAAGCTTCTCTGTGTCCCCACGGCCAGCATCCACTCGCCCTTCTGGGTCTGATGGGGTTCTCAGTCTGTGGCTCAGTGGAACCCACTTTCACGGGAATCTGAGCTCAGAATAGGATAAACTGTGTCCACGTGTGACTAGGAGTCCCAGTGCTTGTCGCTTCTGCCTGGTGTTGATGGTCAGGCCTGGCTGTGATGGGTGATAGCTTCTGGGTCTTCCACAGGGGTCTCATGGGGTCGGCCATGAAGGCCTGAAGGCAGCTCATCAACAAAGATTTTAGCCCAGGCTGGTGAGCTCAGGGTTCGCCCAAAGTGGCCAGAGCCGACCTGTTCCTGATCAAGGCGGCTTCGGTCCCTAAGAGCCACAGGTGAGGACCCTATGTGGCCAACTTGCCAGCTCCCTGGTCTCGTTTAGGGGCAGCCTGAGTGCTGTATTCGTCCTAACATGGGGTGAGATGGTGTGGCAACAATGGTGCCATGGGATCCCTGCCTCTGGTGGCCAGCTACCATGCCCTAGGCTCCACACTCGACCCCAGCTGATGCCCTTCATGGTGCCCGAGGGCCAGAGAGGAGCAGAGAGGGCTTCCTGTGAGGGGTACTGGGCTCCCGGACCGTCCCAGGACACACGACCATGGTCTCCAGGGCCTAGGCCAGGCCTTTAGGGAGATGGTGTCAGCTCTGGACAATGCCCTTTAGAAAGGCAGAGAGTCGGCCTCATGGAGTCACGAGGCTACACCATCAAGAGCCCCCAAATGGCTGGCCCCCCCTCTTCTAACCTCCTACTCCCCTCCCCCCCGCAGGGAGGGACAGGAGCTCCCTGCGTGCCCTGCCTCCTGGCTGTAGCCCCCTCAGCCCCACAGGAGCTGGGGGCATGGGTGGCAGGGTGTGGGCGTGCAGGGACCCTGGCTGAGTGTCTGGCAGCACACACCTTCTCCAGCTTGGAAAGCGCCAGCGAGTAGCTGTCTTTGGCGCGGAACTGCATGAAGCGCATGTTGGAGGGATGGGTGAGCTCCGTGGTGATGCTGAGGCTGGGGAAGAGCCTGCAGGGGGAGGGCGATCAGGGCGGGACCCGGCAAACCATGCGCCACCCCGCGCCCCGCCCCTCGCCCCCACGCGCCGCCCACCGCTCCTCTCCGGCCGCCCGCTCACCGGAACATGGTCTGCACATTGACGATGGTCTTCGCGTCGGCCATGTAGTCCTCCTCAGCGCTCATGGTGCTCTCCTTGTCGACCACCACCAGGTTGTCCGCGTAGATGATGCCGCACTGCAGCAGGCTGTCCAGGCTGGGGACCGGGGGCGTGATGGGGGCCCAGCTGCTCCTCACACCCCACAGGCCTGCCCCCCCTCAGGACCACCCCTCTGGCTGGGGCGGGTGTGGAGTAAGCAGGCCAGCACCTGGGGTGCATCCCCTAGGCCCCATTGGGCCTCCCCCACCTCCCAGGCGCCTGATGGCTTCTCCGCTGCCAGAAGAGAACTCTGGAGGGGAAGGTTGCAGGTGGAGGTCCCTCCTTCCGTTAGGAAATGCCCCGCCTGCCCCACCCCGGGGTGCCCTGCCCATGGGGCAGCTCAGCGCCTTACTTGTCCACGGAGCCCTCCATGTAGTAGACCATGGGGAAACAGCAGATGGCCTCCAGGAAGTGGTGGTCGGGCCTGGGGGGATGGCAGCTCCTGGAGGGCCCCTGTCTGGGGCTCATCCTCCCCCCACTGCCCAAGCAGGCCCTGGTCCCCAGAACTGCACTGTGTCAGACCTGGGGGGCCTTCAGAGGCCAGTGAGGCCATGCTTCATTTTACCAAAGGGGAAGCCATGACCCTAGGGGCCGGTCTGCCAAGGTCAGATGGCCAAAACTGGACCCTAGCTCGGACTTCCGGGCCTCGGGGCCCCTGGGGTGCTGGGGGAGGGGAGAGCCATGTGGTCCCCTCAGGGACTCCCAGATGGGGAGGCAAATATGGGCACAAGAAACCATGAGACAGGGGAGGAAAATGGGGTGCCCACAGGCCAGAGCAGGGAGGGGGTGCCTCAGAGTGAGAGGAAGGGGTGCTGTCTCCAGTGAGAAAGGGGAGAAGCCTGACCTTCAGGAAGGACCAGGCCAGAGACCTGGGATCTGCCTGCTGCCCTTCTGAAGGTGGGGGCAGATGGGGCCCAGGTGAGGTGAGGCTGCAGGTCTGGGAGCCCAGGGACCCCAGGGTGGGCAGGGCAGTCCTCCATGGCCCCTCCACCTGGTGGGGCCAGCAGACTCAGGCCTGGACCCAGGACGGCTGTGAGTCCAGTGGTGCTGACGTTGGTGGGAGGGGCCTCACTTGTTGTCCAGGAGCAGCACAATGGGGTTGAGCTCCTTGCGGGACCTGTAGTAGGCACGCAGCGGCACGATGAAGTTGTAGAGCCCGTTGCCAGCCGTCTCGGCGGAGACAATGATGAGCTTGTTCTTGAACCCATAGGCCTTGGCATCTTCATAGCTGTTGTGCTTGCAGCCCTGGGGGCAACTCCCAAGTCACGTGCTGGGAAGGGGCTGTAGTGCCCCTGCACTCCCAGTAACCCTGGCCAAATGACACCCATAGAGAGACTGCATGGCAGCTTGTCACGACACTCAGGACAGATGCAAGTAAGATGGGTGTGACTACCCGGACCTTCTACCCACCCCATGGGAGCTGCGCCAACAATGCCAACAAGGCTGTGCTTGACGCGCTGCTCCAAGTGAGCCAGTGCTCGTGCGAGGAGCCACGAGCTTGGGCAAGACGGGAATCACGTCAGCATGGGCCAGGGAGGGTCTGTGTGCATGTGTGGTCTCAGCGTGGTCTCAGCACAGTCTTAGCATAGAGCTATGGGTACGGAAGTCACACAGATGTGTCGTGTGTGCATGTGCACAGACACACTTCCTAGCTGAGAGGGCTCAGGAGTATTGACACCCCCTAACAATGAGCACACCCAGCACCCAGATTTTGGCTTCTAACTACCACTTTTCATGAAAAGGATCAGGGCTTTCTGGAGCCGGGGCAAGGGAAGTACAACGTGTGGCTGGAACACCTTTGATTAGAAAGTAAGAACGTGCTCCGAGAATGATGGGGGCGTGTCAGGAGGACCCAGAAGCCAGTGTGAAGGGGCTCCCACCAGCAAAATGGGGAAAAATAAGCGATTTATAATAAATGATGCTACTGCAATAGTAAATAGTGGATTATCCCTGTGAATAAAATAAGAACCCATGACTCCACACTGATAGAAACAAATGAATAAAGATAAGCAGGGAAAAGGGAAGGCACTTCCTTCCAGCAGAATGGTGGCTAGTAAAGATAAAAGGATGGGATTGGAGAATCACTGTGGGTGCTGACACTGGGGTGGGGGCTGGAAGGGGACCATGTACCTTTCCACCAACAGCTTGTTAACCACGAAGCGACAAATAGTGTTATGCAGAGGAGAAGCCCGGCCGACCCCACCGTGACCCAGCGATCCACATTAACATCATTGGTGGACGGACAAATGGACAACACGCACCTCCTGATGGGGTGCACTGAGGTCATGGAGCTACTTCTGGGGTGTTCAACCAGCGTGCATAACCTGAATCCAACCACTAGAAACAACAAGCAAACCCAAACCAGGGACGTTCTACAAGATAAGTAACTGACCCGGATTCTTTAAAACCCACCAGCCATCTGCCAGCATGTCGCTCTGTGGTGGCTTACGTGTTTGTGTGATGCTGGAAGCTATGCCACCAGTATTTCAAACACTATCAGGGTCACCCCTGCTGGACAGGTTTCAGCGGAACATCCAGACTAAGACAAGGAAGAAAGGCCTGGTGGTCTACTTCCAAAAATCAGCCAATGATAACCCTATGGATCACAGAATATTGTCTGAGACTGACTCAGTTACTTTGAATGCGTCATCAGGAGGGACCGATCGCGGGAGAAGGACATCATGTTTGGTGGTGTGGAGGGCCAGTGAAGGAGAAGGAAACCCCCAGAGAGATGGATTGACACAATAGCCTCAGCAATGGACTCACACATTGCAATGATCACGAAGATGGCATAGGACCGGGCAGCCTTTCGTTCTGTTACACGTGGGGTCGCCATGAGTTGGCGCTAACTCGATTGCACCTAACACCAACTCTTCAAAACAACATCTCCTTGGGACGGCCTGAGGAGAGGCTGAAGAATGTTCCAGATTAAAGACTAAAGAGGCACAGCAACTAAATGGAACATGTGATGCCGGCTTGGATCCCGACTGGGGAAAAACGGCAAAAAAGGACAAATGGCCACAAAGCACTGTGAAGGCTCCTGGGACAAGAGGTGCAGTCTGAGTGGGTGCTGCGGGTTTGAGGCTGACACCGCCGACCCTGATGCCCTGCCAGCAATCGGGCTGTGGTGGGAACACGAACAGGCGCCAGTGTGGCTCAACAGTGAAGCGCCCGCCTGCTAACTGAAAGGCTGGCAGTGCAAACCCACCCGGTGGCACCACGGAAGAAAGTCCTGGCGATCTGCTTCTGTAAAGATTCCAGCCAAAAGAACCCTGTGAAGCAGTTCTACTCTGTCGTTAACGGGGTCACCGTGAGCCGGAGTGGACTCACTGGCAGCTGTGGTGTTTAGTTTTTTATGAACGAGAATGCCCTTGGTCTTAGGGAATGCATGCTGGTACATTTGGGGGTGAAGGGCCACTGGGCTCCAACTTGCTGCCAAGTGGGTCAGAAAAACATGCATATAAAATTCAGACAAATGTAAGAGCAGGTGAAGAGGGAAGCGGGGGCAAGCGTAGACCTTTGGGGGATCAGGTAAAGGGTCTATGGCTCCTTCCATACACTTTTCTGTCAGTCTGTAATTATGCCGAGATGAAAAATCACCCAAAGTGGAAGAGGCCGCATGGGCTCCCCTGGGCTGAGCAGCTGGGAGGCAGGCGGCTGGGCAGACTGGCAGCTGGGAGGGCTGGGGCGGACTCACCTTGTCCAGCCGGAGGCAACAGAAGGGTGCCTTCACGGGCAGGAGGTGGCACAGGGTAGGGGAGCTGCCGATGTAGGGCGAGTTGGGGGGATAGCCCTTCACGTACCTGCACAGGAGACAGTGGCCCTCAGCAGCCCAGACCACCTCCCTAACAGCATGTCTGCGTCAGCCCTGGACGGCAGTGGGGACTCCATGGACCCCTGGCTGGGAGTCTCGAAGGGCATCGGCTCAGTTCATGCGCCACGGCCCTCCCCGGTCACCCACAAGCCGGCCCCAAGGTGGCCGGCGCTGCCCTAGACCACCCCGCGCGTTAGGACGGTTCCTCGTCGGCTGGACTGCACCGGGTGACCGCCGAGCCCAGGCTCCAGCACAAGGCAGCGCCGCAGGACGGGCCCCCGGGCGGCCACACGGGGGCGCCAGAACACGCGCGCCTGCCTCCCTCCAGGCAGGGGCAGCCAGGCCTGGGCTGGACCGGGCTGGAGACGGGGGCTGGGGAGGGGTTAGGGGTCCGCGGGGGGCGGTGCTGGGCCAGGGGTGGGGGTGGGGGCGGGGATAGGAAGCCAGACTCCGCTCTCCAGCGCGCGGGGCGGTTCCGGGTGAGGCCGAGGAGAGCGGCATCTAGGACGCCCACCAGCACGGTGCCCCGCTCAGCCCCAGCCAGGACTCGCTTCTTTCCCCGCCTCCATGTCCGCGGACAAAGCCGTGGCTCGGGGAACCGCCTGCTCTGCTCCCCCCTCCTCCCCCCACCCCCGCAGCTCGGAGATTCCACCCCTCCCGCCGCCATCGCCGGTCCCGCCGGTCCTCCGGCCCCGCCCGCCGGCACTCACTCCACCACGGACAGCCCCTCGTCGTCCGACGGCGCGGTCTCATCCTCCGACTGGTCGCTCAGCAGGTCACAGGGCAGCAGTGCAGAGCTGTCGGCCAGTTCCAGGACCGGCGCGATGCTGGGCCGCCGGCTGCCCGAGCCGTTCTCCGTGGGCAGTGCCAGCTTGCCGCCCCCGCTGCTCTGCGGTGGCTGGCACTCCGCGTTCTGGAGGTCCATGGCCACAGTCCCTGCGGGGAGCAGGCATGTGGTCGGCAGCCCCCTCTGGCAACCTCCAAGGAGCAGGTTCCCAGAGTCCAGGGGAGTCTCCACCCCCGAGCCTCAGTTTCCCCCTCCATAGAACGGTGACAGTGGCCTCCTTGAGTGGTGGTGTTGAACAAGACCCTGCAGTCCTCTGGCACTGGCCCACCCCATCCAAGTCAGCGACCGCCACTCAAGACCAGCCAGAAGGAGAGGGGTTCTTGGCTGAGTGAACTCAAGGGTGACAGTCTGGCCACTCTGCCTGGAGGGCTTCCGGGTGGAGGCAGTCACCACAAGGGTGGGCACAGGAGTGGCCAGCCCCTCAGTGCCCACTGGAACGGGCCTTGTGGGCCCCCCTCTGGCCTCTCCTCCATGGCAGTGTGGTGCTGCCAGGTGAGGGCTGGGGACGGCCCAGGATGTGCTGCGCATTGCAGGGACAGCTGGGCCGCTGTGGCCCCGGGACCGTGGAGGGACTGGGGGCCACATGGTTCCCACGGTTTCCGGAAGCCCACGGGGGCCGGGGCATGGGCGTGACATGTCAGGAAGCCCAGGTGGCCCCAGACCAGGGCAGGACCCCCGCCTGGATCCAGGGCCTCCTCCCCTTGCTCCTCCCCCTCCTCTCCCCTGGGCCCCGCCTCCTCCCCCAGACCCCCTCGCACCCATGGAGGCGATGACGCTGTGCACCGGCAGCCTCGAGGGCCCCTCACGGAGCCCCGGGCCGGAGCAGCCCTCCCTCCTCTGCTTCTCCTCCTGCTTGAAGATGAAGGCCGAGTTCTCCTCCTTGGTGATGTTGATATAGAAGCAGGTGTCCGAAGCGGTCAGTGTGTGCCGGGGCCCCGGGTTCAGCAGGATACTCTTGTGCTCCTCGCGCTTCAGCCCGATGAGGCACACGCCGTACCTGGGGACGGGACGCGGGCGGGCGGCTCCACCGGCTGTATGCTGCCCTCCTCCCGGCCCGGACACCGAGCCTGGCTCTGCTCCCCTCCCCTCACTGTCCCCCCAACCTGGACCCCGCAACGCTGATCCGAGCCCTGCTTCCCTCCTCCCGCTGTTTCCTCCTCTGCCCGGTCCCTGGAGACACTGCATCCCCGCATCCTCTCCTCCAGGCCGCAAAGACACAGTACTCGCTCCCACCCTCCTTCTCTTCCCTAGGGCGGGCCAGACAGCTCGATGGGTCCTCACCACCCTATGCCCAGTCCTGCGCCCACCCCTCAACCCGAGCTCTCCACAGCCCCGCCCTGCTCCCTGCTTCCCACCGGTTGGTCCTGCTGGGATCCCCAGTACGCCGCTCCCCTGCGCCCCTCCCCGGCCCCGCCCC